CCCACGTCCCCCACTGGTGACATTCGGTACCATGCATGCTAGGGATATGCTACTGTCAAGGGCCGTAGTTGTTGAAACCGTTACTCGGGGGGCTATAGCGATTACCCCGGACAATGGTACACTGATTAACAGACCCCCTTTTCGGACTGTGACAAGACCGACGGGCATTGCGATTCGCATAGCTGAAGTCAAGTTACAGTGAATTGGGGAGCTCCATAAAACCAAGGTGACAGCCGGCACACAGGAGCCTATAAGTAGCGTCTCTAGCACGACTAAGCCGTTTGAAAAGCCGAAAGCATCACCCTTGAGTGAGTCGACACCAAAGTCGAGGAGTGTCTTACAGCGCGCGGGACCTCAAGTCAAAAAAGTACCTAAAGCCAAGAAAACCCAGGTAGCTCCCGAAACATCGCTTCTACCCTGGAAACCGAGGATGTAAAGCAGAGGAGCACGAACGTAGGCAAAGAGATAACTGCTCTTGCAAGGGAATAGCATATCGACCACAAGACATGACCACTGGAAACACCAGAAAGGTCAACTGGATCCCGCAGCTGGGCCACGGTAGTGGCCCACTTCGGCGCAAGCCAGCCGTGGTGAACGGGGGATCCAGTGGGCCAGAAGACCTGGAAGATCTTGTGAGTCGAGTGTCAGGCCTCAGAGTTACGAATATAGGTCAAGCCAAAGGTGGACTGTCATGGGTAGCCGAGGATATTCCCACCGTCAGCGTTAAAGCAAAAAACGAGGTGGCTCCTCGGGTATTACGCCCGAGGACTCTGATGTTATAGATAGGCCATTCCCGCCAGGTCTAAAAGCAGAAATTATCACAGTGTGGTACATAAATGCTTCTAGTATTAGTTGAAAGTGGGGAAAATTAGGAGCACGCACCCCAGGGTCAGATATAGTCAATATTACTGAATCATGGCTGAAACAGGAGCAACCCGTTGCTCATTTAAGCGGGCATACAAGCTATAGGCAGGACAGAACTGACGGCAGACAGGGGGGCGGAGTACTGCTGCACGTCAAGGCTGACCTAAACCAAAGGGTAATGCGACTGGAGTTAGCTACTCCAAATATCCAAGCCACAGGAGGCTGCATTCAACTGGGGCGGAAACAAGTGGGTGTAGTATGTATATATAGGGCCAGAGAAAGATACGGAGCTGCTTATGATCCTACAACAAACGCTGGTAAAATACCAGCGTTTGTCATCACTGGCGACTTCAATTTTACGGAGGTAGCATAGTTAAGGGGGAATGCACCTACACGATCCCCAGGGGTTGCATTCTTGCAGTTTCTACAAGAAAGAGCTCTGACAACATGTGACAAGAGCAACCAGATACCAAGGACAACAAAGACCCTCGCTGCTAGACCTAGTTATCAGAAGGCATTCCTCGGACATAACTAGTCTAAACATGGAAGAACCACTGCGCAAATTGACCACGAATTTCTTCGCTTTCGACTAATGGTTAACCAACGTAGGCAGGGACCTACTCTTATACGTCTCTATGGTCGCATAAACGACATAGAATTGGTACAAGCTGCAAATACCATCAGCTGGTATCCGATGTCCCCGGAGTGCACTGTGCAGGATAAATGGGAAGTAGTTAAAAGAGGGTTAACTAGCCTCACAGAGAGGTTCGCACCACTGAGGGAAGGCCGAACCAGTCATAGACTAATATGGTGGAAACCCGGGATAGAGAGGACGCTGAAAGTTTGTCGACGATACTGGGATCACTTTAAGCTTTACGGCATTCAACAAGCCTGGAGTGACTACAAGCGGGCGCGCAACAGATGTCAAGACTTCCAAAGGCGTGCCAAATATGACTTCGAGTGCAACTTAGCACGAGGCGTCAAAAGGAATCCCCAAAGCTTCTATGCGTACGTGCAAGCTAACGCACGCACACGGGAGAGTGTAGGAGTACTGGCTTTATCCGATGGAAGCATAGCTACGGGTAATCGAGATAAAGCGGAAACCCTACTTAATTTCTTCAAGAGCGTGTATAGGACCCCAGTCGACAATGATAACCTGGGTTTAGCAAGGTCAGCTGATACGCCCGAGTTTGCTGATATTGTCATCTGTGAAACAGATGTACATCGAGAACTCCAGACGCCGAACAAGCACAAGTCAACAGGTTCAGATGGAATTCATCCAGCCATAATGCAGCCGCTGGCCGGGCAGCTGACTGTAATGTTTAGGGAATCAGTGCAAAATGCTACGCTACCCCAGGACTGGCGTACAGCTACCGTAGTAGCACTGCACAAGGCTGGACCGAAATATAAAGCAGAAAACTACAGACCCGTTAGCCTAGTGTCAGTGTTGTGTAAGTGCCTTGAGCGACTAATCAGAAAGCTGATTTGCCTACATCTGACTAGCAATCGACTCCTGTCACCGACACAGCATGGCTTTGTGCAACGGAAATCATGTCTTACGAACCTGCTTGTATTCCTAAACGAGGTCACTCAACGTATGGATGAGGGGAAAAATGTAGAAGTCTGTTGCTTAGACTTCAGTAAAGCATTTGACTCTGTCAGCCATAGATTGTTGGACTTCAAAGTTCGGAGCCTAGGCATAACAGGTAGAGCCAGGGACTGGATTGTAGCCTTTTTGAACAACCGCACTTTCCGGGTCAAGGTGGGTGACTATATTTCTAACCATGAGGTGGTTTCGAGTGGAGTTCCCCAGGGCTCAGTGCTAGACCCCCTACTTTTTCTCATATTTATCAATGATTTGGCACAGGATCTTCAAAATCCGTGCTTCATGTTTGTTGATCATGTCAAAATGACAGGATTAAGCCTGCAAAGGGACCTAGACGTAGTCCATCGATGTTTGGTGGAGTGGGACCTGCCTTTGAATTTAAACAAGTGTAGGCTCTTAGCAACGAGAGTGGGGGTATACTCGCTCAATGGAGCTCATATGCAGCAGGCCCTGCAGATGAGGGACCTAGTGGTTCTTATGACCCAGGATTTTAAACCATCAACCCAGTGCTCCAAGGCTGCAAATCAGGCTAGGGGGCAGCTGTTCAGGCTGTGTGCTACAGTAACATGCAGACGGCCTGAGGTGTTTCTCCCCCTGTATAAGTCGATTGTTCGCCCACACATGGAATATTGTGTGCAGGCATGGGCACCGTATTACAGGAGGGATATATCTTGTTTAGAAAGAGTGCAGCTCCTAGCTACCCGAATGGTGGCTGGGCAAAAGGGGAAGAGCNGCTGCAAATCAGGCTAGGGGGCAGCTGTTCAGGCTGTGTGCTACAGTAACATGCAGACGGCCTGAGGTGTTTCTCCCCCTGTATAAGTCGATTGTTCGCCCACACATGGAATATTGTGTGCAGGCATGGGCACCGTATTACAGGAGGGATATATCTTGTTTAGAAAGAGTGCAGCTCCTAGCTACCCGAATGGTGGCTGGGCAAAAGGGGAAGAGCCATGCGCAGCGGTTACGAGATCTTGAACTCTTTTCGCTGGAGCGTAGACCAGTGAGAGGAGATCTGATAGAGACTTACAAAATTGTACGAGGTCTATCAGGACTCAACCTAGACGACTTGTTTACTATTCCTCACGCCCAGAACACAAGAGGTCATGGCTATAAACTTCAGCAGAACCACGCAAGGTTGGAAGTACGGGCGAACTTCTTCGCACACAGGGTCATACCTATGTGGAACAGGTTACCTGCAGAAGTGGTCAACTGCACCAATGTTAACGCCTTCAAGGTGGCCCTGGACGCATGTTGGTCAGCAACATTCCCCGAAGTTAGTATTTAGAGTGGGAACATAAGGAATAAATTCTACTTTAGCCGGAAGCTTTGAAATGGTGCGAATTCGGGGTTGACTGTTAGAATTATTCTAAAACTGAATGTCCTGTCACATGTGATCTGTGTATACGAACGCATGTGTACTTGAGGTCTCTAACCAATGAGGCGAGGAGATATCCTTGCTTGTTTTCCTCCCTTTCAGCATACCCCCAAGGAGTCAAGGTTCTGACAACGGGGCTAAATTGAGAGGATCATGAACACCTAATCAACTGTAGCTTGCAACAAGTTTTGCAAGCTACTACCATCCGCCGACAACACAACGAACTGGACGCTCGATTGGCAAGAGCCATATTCGTCCTGTGCAAACTGAGCTTAACTGAATCAACTCGTTATATTCTCTAGATCAAATGTTGTCCCACAGCGCCAGATTTTTGAAATCCTTGCACTTTATCGCGAAGAAACATCATTTTCTGATTTTTGCCCATTCTGTGAGAAATCGCTTCAAACGACTGCAAAAATCTGTTCAAGGACATCATAAAAAACACCATGCTGGCTGGCGTGTGGCTCTCAGGCTGCGTTCTGTTGATAATTTGACCGTTCCATCTATTATCTCATGTAACATTCGTTCGCTTACGGGAAAACTCGATGATGTCAAGAGCATGATGCAGCAGAAGGAATGCAAGAATGTAGGGGCTATTCTACTCCAGGAAAGTTGACTGCATCCTGATATTGAGGAAAACGTCGTGCATCTTGATGGATTTGATACATTGTGTGGTGATCGTAATGTGATCTTCGTACACAGAGGTGGTGGAGTGGTCACGTTCGTTAACAGGAAACGGTGCAAAACCGCTTGTAAATGTTTTCAATTTAATGCTCTCAAGATAAATTGTATTCTTGTTAGTTGTAAGCCCGATTTATCAGTCACTTTCATCATATTACATTAGCGAACATTTACATCGCTCCTGACACGCCTGCCTCTGACATTCGTCTGTTAGTCGACTCCTTCTCTTCACAACTTGTAACCCATTTAGACCATTCTTTATGCATTGCTGCTGGTGATTTTAATCGTTTTGATATCTCTTTCCTTAAAACCTTAGGCTTGACGAATCTTGTAAATTTTCCTACCCGGCTTAGTGTCCAAGTTGACGGTATTTTTGTAAATAGCCCTAAAATCTTTTTCATTGAGAAGCGGGCTCCCATAGTTAGCTCCGATCATTGCTCTATTTTTGCACCCTAAGATTTACGGTAAATATTTTCATCGTCATATGAAGTGTTCCACATCCAGAACTATCAGAAGTCGCACTCCTGAAAACTTATCCTAACTTAAAGATATGGTTTTATCTACCGACTTCACTGTCTTTTCCAATGATGACTACTCTTCCAGTAGTGAGCATCTTAGGTTATCTTAATTTTTGCTATGATCTGTTACCCAGTTGAGAATTTATATATTCCAACTGACAGATTCCCTTCACCTCTTCTAAAACGGCTTCGTCGTGATAAAGAAAAGGCTTACAGGACTGAAAGGCGCTGTGCTGCCCAACATCTATCATTATTGATCAACATGGAAATACAGCGCCTAAATCAGATATACATCGAAACTCTTATGGGAAACCAAAGCTGACGCGATATGTGGCCTGCTTTAATGCAGCTCTGTGGATCACGCAACAGATCTTTCCTGGATGTTGAGGAGCTAAACCGTCGATTCTCAAATGCTACTGTACAGAACTCAACGCCATCTTTATTTACATCTACTGAGAAGAACCAATCTGTCACCCCTGTGGAAGTTCTGAATGTACTCAAGTCCCTTAAATCCAACAAAGCACATGGCCCTAATTCGTTGTCCCCCTTCCTACTGAAAGAGTGTGATGAACAACTCGCTTCACCTATTTCCGAGTTGTTCAATTTGTGTGTCATCTGGAAGCATCCCTGATTGGTGGAGATC